TTTGTCCTCTGCTAGTTGTAGTAGCGTCCGTACGGCCAAGAATGGCGCGGCCTTTGTCCCGTAGGTGACGGTTGTCAGATGATATGGCACTTCATTAAGTTGATCGTCCATCCAGAGTATCCGTTGCAACTCCCAGTCATCCTTGTGAATTTTGATCTGCCTGTACATCTTGGTGATGTCCGTAGCGAAAATGTGTCGATGTCTTCGTATCCAGAGGAGAACATCTGAAATATTCAGATGCAATTTCGCTCCAGTATACATGAGGTCGTTAGCAGAGTAGCCCGATGTTGATGCGCTGGAGCCATTAAATACGACTCGCAGTTTTGTTGTTGTACTGTCAGGCTTGAGAACACCGTGATGTGGTAGGTAGAAGTGTGAGCGACGACTGGAGATGGATGATGCCTTCGTCATGTGGTTGAGTGTCTCGTAATCCATCATAAATTGTTGATAGAGACGTTGATAGTTCACATCCCTTGAGAATCGTTTGCGTAGTCCCTTGAGGCACTGATGGGCGACGTGGTACGAATCACCCAGAAGATATACTGGTGATTTGAGCGGAATCCTGACGACGTACCTTCCTGATGAGTCACGAGAGTGTGTAGCCTTGAAGTGCTCTTCGCACCTCTGCTCGTCAGGGGTGAGTCGATTGACATCGTGAGTAGGCACCTCCTCTTGAACCCAAAATTTCGTCAATAATTCGTTGAGGGCATCCTCGTTGACTTGAGTAGAAGCCTGGTGTGTTGATGTGCGTGTTGCTTCTCTGTTGACTGGTCCAAGAACGAGCCATCCGAAGATGGAGAGCTGCGCTATCGGCATGAGTGGAGAATGCCGAATGATATTGGGCTTGATGATTTGCCCGTAAGCGTCTGCGCCGATGAGGATGTCAACTGGCCGTGGGATGAGAAAATCAGGATCGGCTAATGCCAAGTTCCTGAGATGCGGCCATTCTTCCGGTTCCGCCTCGAACGATGGTAAGATTGATGTAACTGTCCGGAGGACATGAGCTTGAATTGTGGCAGCTGCGTTGGAATGTGTCGAGCGTAACGTGAGTGACACGACTCCTCGTGTCCGAGTACACTCCTTGCCCGCAATTCCAGTGATGACAATACCTGAGTATTGACGAGGGATGTTGAGCTGCCGAATGAGATTCTCCGAGACGAAGGTGAGCTCGGATCCTGTGTCAATGAGCAGACGCGCTGAGTGGTGCGTTGTAGGGGAGTTGACCAATGCCAAGGCTGTGGCAAGCAGCGTTGAGTAAGATGAGCGGCTGTTTGAGCTGGTATTGACGACTGCACCGGCTTTTCAATGTTCGGGCGTGGCCGATGACCCACCGGTCTTCTGGGCTGGCGCTGCTATTGGGTGTGTGCCGTGCAGCATTGTATGGTGCCGCCCTGAGCAGGTCTTGCAACCTCGCTGCGACTTGCATGCACGCACACTGTGCCTCCCCAGGCAGTTGAAGCACAAGCGCTTGTCAATTGCCACCTTGTGCCGGGCTGCCGGTGCCAGTTCCCGGAACTTACTGCACATCACAATAAAGTGCTGCGCATTGCAACAGTCGCACGGGTACGATGAGTCGCCTTGCTGGGTTGCCTGGTGAGCCCTCTTTGGTGGTGAGGGTGCTGAGCTGGGACTTGGATGAGTCGTAGCCTCGATCCGCTCGAGCGCCCGTCTCTTGGTCGTCAAAACTCCTCGAGTGTCTCGAACGTGGGGTAGTCACGCGTGGCTCCAACAGCGTTCTCCCACTGTTCCCGTGTCACGCGATCCAGGAGTCGCGTGACGTGATACACCACCGCGGAATCTCCGAGCTTGTCCGTTACCTCGAGGGCCTCCAGTCCCTTGAGTGCCTCTCTGACTCCCGAGACCAGTCGATCCAAGGACGCCGCCTTCCTTGGCACTGGGGTTGAGCTGGCGAACAGTTTATCAAGGCAGGCGTGAATGAGTAGACGTTTGTTCTCGTACCTGTCCTTGAGTAACTCCCAGGACGGCGTGAGCGAGTCTCCTGCCATGATGAATCCTGCGATCAGCTGGGCTGGCGCGCCTTCCACCGACGAACGGAGGTAGTGAAGCTCTCGACGTTCGTGAGCTGCTCGTTATCCATGATCAGACTGGTGAAGAGATCTCTGAACGCAGGCCATGCGGCATACTCCCCGGTGAACTTGGGGAGTGAGATGTCCGGCAAGCGTGAGAGCGGCTGTCTGTTCTCGCCGGTCGATGAGCTGGTCTGCGGTTGAGCGGGCTGAGCTGCCAGTGCGTGACGAAGCACGCCGATGACTCGTCGCGCCTGCATGTAGCATCGCAACTCAGCCTGGTGAGCGTTCTCGCCGAAGTACTCATGGTGAGTAAGCGTCGTAGGCCATGACACCTCGAAATAGGCGTGCTCCTTTACGAACGCCTTGTGAGTCTCCTCGATCAGCTGCTGGATTTGCGAGACCTCCTCGTTTGATGTCTCCGCTGGGACATCCGGCAGGGATTCGGTGAACTCCCTGAGTGCAGCAATCCGGCCCATCTGCGTCTGCACCTTGAGCGCGAGCTCCGTCGGAAGCCGGGCAGGAGACGTCGTCCTTCCCGACGTGCGGTCTCCTGGAGGCAGCTCCAACACAGGGGTTTTCGAGCGGTCCGTCTTGCCAGTCTTCGTCTCGTCCGCCATGGCGAGAGAGCGTGAGAAGTATCGACGCAGAGGAGAGAGAGATAAAATTAGCGATGAGATTCACGCGAGAGGATCGTGAAATCACGGAACACTGCGGAAAGCCGTGTATGTGCGCCACTGATCACGCGAAAGGGCCGTGAGATCACTTGGTCGATGCGTAGGACCGTATCTGTGCGCGCCGCCGATCACGTGATCGCTGCGTGGTTGAGCTAATCCGTCCGAGAGCCTCGCCGCATCCGGCTCGAAGGACCAAAAAATGTTAGCGATTCTCTTTTGGGAGAGCTCGCTGGACCGCTGCGGTTGGAAGCAGGGCTGAGAGGACTTTGCGGCGAGAGACTCGGGGATCGGATGCACGCTTGCGAGGGTAGAAATCACGTGATCGAACACTCTTGGCGTTTGAGTAAAAATACCGTGTTAGTTTAATAAGTAAAAGGCTTACAGTTCGAGCAGTCAATTACAGTATGGGGATGCGAAGTCTCTTGATCACTTGCACGGGACGATAGTATTATTTATCGTGAGCCGGCCTCGTGAATGCGGATGCCCGTGAGCCGTGGCCACGCTACGCCGGCGTGCGATGCGTGGAGAGCTTGCGCTGCCGGTGATGCTGTATCGTATGTCCTGAATGTGTAGCACTGCGAAGTGTTCACTGAATGTTCACACTGAGTCAGTTCTCGGATGAGAAAGTCCACGATGAAGGAAGTCCACTATATCACTTGAGAATCCTTTTCACTACACGACGCGTGTACTTCGTACCGTAGCCATGAGCCAAAAGGTCCGGTAACGGACGTGACGGAGCGCTGTCGCCTCGAGTCGCGATCGGGCATACGCGCGCAGCGCTCCTGCGGCGCTGCACGATCCGACCCGGCTGATGCTGCCATCACGCCGGCAACGAGCTGGCCGAGATTCAGAAATGAATCCGGAACACGGAGACACCTGCGGAATATAATATTTTACTGAATATTTCGTTTATGGATAATATAAGAGAGAATTAGACATGAAAACTTATTAGATACACACGTGTTTAGCCACTCAGCAGCTTCGTCGCCGCAATCAATAGATTTTATTAAAATCCAATTTGGTTCCAGTTTTACCAACATTTTACGAGTTTTACTGGTTTTTTTATCTACAGGGTGAGTCTTTCCATATCCGACCAAA